TTTTTTTCTTTCTCTCTCTCTCTCTCTCTCTCTCTCTCTCTCTCTCTCTCTCTCTCTCTCTCTCTCTCTCGTTCATCCATCATTCCATTCTTGTACAATCTCCTTGCTGTTCGGGTTGCTGGTGTCTGGATTCCCCTAGATCAGGGGTAGGCAACCTTGGCTCTTTTATGACTTGTGGACTTCAACTCCCAGAATTCCTGAGCCAGCATGGCTGAGCTTGGAAACCTCTCCCTTTCCCCTCAGCATGGCTGGCTCAGGAATTCTGGGAGTTGAAGTTCACGAGTCATAAAAGAGCCAAGGTTGACTACCCCTGCCCTAGATGAAGGAGGCCGGTCGCTTGAATTCCTTCATTCTCTCTCTCTCCCTGCAGGAAGAAGGTCTGGAGAGGCAGCTGGTGAAGCTGTTGACGGGCCTCTCGGCCGAACAGTACCTACCCATTTTTGCCCACCATCGGATCTCTCTCGAAATGCTCAGCCACATGGTCCCTGGGGACCTAGCCAAGGTCAAGAAACACGGGCCGTTCTGATACTGCAGTCTCCCTCCTTCCTCACACCCTGGTTACAGATTGTCCCCAACTTTCATTTCATTTGAAAAAAATGGAAAAAAAAGGGACTTAACGGCCGTTCTTCACACATACGACTGTTCCAGCATCCTTACAGTTGTGATCAAAATTCAGGCGCTGGGCAACCTGTCTCGCCTTTATGACGGTTGCAGTGTCCTGGGGGTCCCGTGATCCCCTTTTGAGTCAATGGGGAAGTTGGATTCACTTACCGTTGTGGCTGGAAAGGCCGTAAGACGGGGCAAAACCCGTTGAGCAACTGTTTCAACCATTCTTGTCTCTTGCAGATCGGAATAACTGAATCTGGCTTGCAACGCGCCATCGTCCAGAAAGCTCGGGAGATACAAGCTGTTGCAGAAACCATACCAGGTAAAGCTTCTTCAGAGGTCACTTCTGTCCCCAGCTGGGGTTGGGGGGCACCTTTGGGGAAGTCTTCCTGTTCCAGGGGGTTTCTTTGCTCTGTCTGGACATGTTGGGCCTTTGAACCGTGAGTTGAACTCAAGCCATCTCAGGGTAGCCTGCACTGAATGGCAGGGAGGACTTGGTTAGGACGTGGCGAGGAGACCACCCAGCCATTTTAGGATGGGAGCCTAGATGGAGGATGAACAAAATTCCCAAGGGACGTCTTGCGTTGTTGTGAAGGACATGTGAGGGCACCAAGATTTGAGTTCAACAAAAGAGAGTCAACTTTGCTTGGAACGTGCAACCAGTAAGAACCAGCAGCCGTGATCGCTGCGGCCTTGAGGATCTTCTCCATCTTCTCCCAATCCCACCGGGCGGCCCATGTTCTTCCTTGAGCTCCTCCTCACTCTCTGCCTTCCTTCCACCTGGTTGCAGAACTGTTGAAGCCAGCAGAAGAAGTAGGGCCTTCTGCTCCCGTGTTTGGAGAAGAGCCTGCCCAGCCTGAAGTCCCATCAGCTCCACCGCCAGAAGAACACCACTGCGAGTGTGTAGTCTGTATGGAGTTAGAGGTAAGCCGACGGGCGGCCTTGTGTGTGTGTATGGGGGGGGGGGGGAGTGATAGACAACTGTGTTCATTCTTCTTTCTGACCCACCTTAGCCCTCCTTGTTTTATCCCAGCAACTTTCGGAAGAGACGGGATGGGTCGAAAGAGGTCCAAAGGCTTCTTGAATTTCCTTAGATGATGAGGACGAGCTTAAAGCTTACTCTCCTATTCTTGTAGCATACGCTTGGAACCATCCTGACCCTGTGTGGTTCTACTCCAGGAATTCTAAGGCATGATGGGACTCCTCCTGGAGCAAATAGCCCTTAGACTTATAGACCGCTTCACAGTGCTTTACAGCCCTCTCTAAAGCGGTTCACAGAGCCAACATCTTGCCCCCCAACAATCTGGCTCCTCACTTTATCGACCTCGCAAGGATGGAAGGCTGAGTCAGCCTTGAGCCGGTCAGGATCAAACTGCTGGCAGTTAGCAGAATTAACCTGCAATACTTCATTCTAAATATTGCGCCACCACGACAAACAGACAGACAGACAGACAGACAGACAGATAGATAGATGATAGATAGATGATAGATAAATAGATAGATAGATAGATAGATAGATAAGATGAGATGATAGAGAGATAAAAAGGGTAGAGAGAGAGAGATAAGATGATAGATAGATAGATAGATAGATAGATAGATAGATAGATAGATAGATAGATAGATAGATAGATAGATAGATAGATAGATAGATAGATAGATAGATAATAGACAGACAGACCCAACAATCTGGGTCCTCACAAGGATGGAAGGCTGAGTCAACCTTGAGCCGGTCAGGATTGAACTACTGGCAGCGGGCAGTGAGTTAGCCTGCAATACCGCATTCTAACCACTGCGCCACTTAGCAAATGTTTCACTTAGCCACATAAATCCTACTTGATTGTGGTCATAGTTGAGGACTCGGCTGTGCTGTGGTTTTCTTCAGCACCAAGCCACGGTAACCAGTTCACCAGCCGGTCACCAAAACTCTTGCTTTCGAGGTCATTTTCGTTAAAACAAAGCTTGGGTATTTCTTTATTTATTTTCCCTCGCTGCCCCTTTTGCGTGCATGGAAGCCCCCCTCTTCCCCCCCCCCAATTCTCTTTTTGAGAGGGGAAGGCGCCCGGCCTGACCTCTCCCTTCTGTGGCTTCTCCTTCCCAGGCACAAGTGGTGTTCTTGTACTGCGGTCACGTCTGCTGCTGCCAAAACTGCTCCGAAGCCTTGCACACCTGCCCGCTCTGCAGACAAGCGATTGTGCAACGGATCCGGCTTTTCCACAGCGGCTATAGCCCCCTGGAGGATGCCAAAGGGGCAGGTTTTTCTCCCGGAGGAGAAATGTAGGAAAAAACCTGGAATGTCAGCCTTCGTCATTTGCTTTTTTTTTTGCACGTCGGTTTTGTCATCGCTGCGCGCTCGGAAAGCATGTTCTGTGTTTGCAGCACTCGCCTCCGCGCACGCCGGGCGATGGACAGGAAGGAGGCGTGCACCACGCCTTTTGCACTAAACAAGGTCTTCTTTTGCTCACTGTTGTCCACTGGGCAGAGTGTTATGAGTTCGAAACCTCCAGGCAATTGGGAAATAAATGAAGGGACGCTCAAAAGTGTTTTTTTTTTTCAAAAGGCAACTGGACTTTCTTTCTTGGTTTCTTTCCTTGAAAATGTTTCGCTTCTCCTCTAAGAAGCTTCTTCAGATTCTTGGGCGAGAAGCAAAATGTTTTCCAAGGAAAGAATATATTAAAAAAACACAAGGAAGTCCAGTTGCCTTTTGGAAAAGCGCTTTTGGGACAACCGTGGCCTGGATGGATGGATGGATAACTGGGAGAGACTTGCATTTTAGCCCCTTGAAGAAATTTAACGGTGGTGACGGGATCACCCCGACCACTATCGGTGGGTCAAAAATGTCAGAGAACAAAAAGCTGCCTTTATTACAGGGAATCTCCGTGCCGATCGCCCCTCATGCTACTAGTCCTCGTTGAAGTGCTTCAAATCTCCCTGCAGGGCTTCTCATTTGGGAATTGAAAGGGAGACCTGTCACCAAAATATTGGAGGGGAAGGGAAGGAAAAGAATCTGACTCGCCGAAGATGGCAGCCTGGCGTGACCACCACCCTTAGAGGCAAAAGTTGAACTCAGGGTATGAATGTCGGCTGGGTTACTGGAAGGTGCCCGGTTGGGCGACGGCTGTTCTGCTTGACAGCATGTAGTTAATAACTTGGTTAATTAGTCAGTCAGTGGACTTGAACTGCCTGGGCAGGTTCTATCCCAGGAAAGTGGGCAGAGGGCTGGGCAGGAACAACTCCCAACGTTCAGGATCCCTTGAGGAC